TTAAATAACAACAGTTGTATATTTATAAAAGGTATATATATATTATTGACTATATTCAAACATTTGCATTTTCAAGTTTTCAACTTTCATTTATTTACTTGAACAGTTTTTCTTAAGAAACTTGTATGGAACTGTCAAAGTATATTTATGAGTTTAGTTTGCAATATTTAGCTATTCAGAAGTTGTGAAGTTCCTTAAAATGAATGTTGTTGGGTCATTTTCTTGTATAATGAGAGTAAATACTGATCTTACAGCAACCATGATCATGTAACATCCCTTTTTGAAATGCTGAAAAGCCCACAAGATTTGCTTTGCTATATAAGTATGAATACAGTCTTTTCTATATTTATTTCTATTCATTCATATAATTTACAAAATATACTTTCTGTTTATGAGAATTGTAGTTGTTTGAAATGGACATGCAGTTATTGTTTTTTGATTCAATCATACTTGATTTGGGGACTAACACCTTAATTGTCATGACAATGTTTGTTTTTTTTTACTTTGGAGGTAATATTTATTTAATGATTGATTCAATAATACTTTTTTATAGTTCAAACTATAAAGGCAATGTAAAGTAAAAGTTATAAATAACATGAAGAAGAAAAAGCAGGATATCATTGCCATAGCATTGACAGAAGTGAAAATAACACATTTAATTGTCGGACTACCAGATTTACTAATATATAAAAAATCCCAGCAGTGGCGCAGGATACTTGTTAATTTGGGGGGGGACAAATTCATATATGCATGTCTTAATCTGTTGAAAACAATGGATTCAAAGGAACTTAATGTGGCAGAACATGAATATATGAATATGTGCCTCCTACCCAAAATAAAGAGTCTGCTATGCCATTTATTCCCAGGGCATCTTGAAGAGCTCTGGCATTGTGTGTAACAGTTAGTATTTCATTTTGCAAGGAACTTCTTATTATTTTTCCAAAACATTATTTGAACATTAGAGAAATTGTGTACAAACTATAAAAAGTTTATATTAGGAATATATTTCTAGGGCAACACCCTCCTTTAAAGTATGTATCCATGTTCAGGAGTGAATGACATGACCAGACATTTTTGGCTAATGTCTTTACAACTGATAAGAACAGTAAATGAGTCATTTCTACTGGTGTCTTTACTACTGATATGGACAGTAATGAGTCATTTTCATTGCTATGACATTCATGTCAAGATTGCTTTTGCTATAGTTTATACTTTACATTGCTTTGAAACTGATTCTCCCAGCTACATAAATGATTTCGTAGCCTTGATGTGAGTATGGACCGCCACAATAATAACATTTTCGTGTCGATTCAGATTGGATGGTGGCCAACATGTCGTAATTTTTGTCCTTTGACTCGATATCCCGTGCTTGATAAGTGCTTTGCTCATCTCTACGGCCGTCCAGCAAAATATCCCTGAGTTTATACTCGGGATCTCTTAGTGCTTTCTTTCGTATCCACGAAGAAGATCCCGCCATGATTATCTGTTGTTCCACCTCAAAGTCAATATCATCAAAAGCACATGTTTGAGCTAATTTTCTCAATCGCGTATGAAATTGGTCTAACGTTTCTGATTGTTCTTGTTTGGCTTCGCGAAATTTGTACACTTCATATCGCCGATTTTTTTTGAGGCTCAAAATATTCCGTTAATTTGATTTTAGCAAGTTCATATTCGCTGTCGTCGCCTGTATCGTTGAGCTGTCGAAATATTTCACGAATGCGTGAACCATCTTGACAGAGAAGTAATGCTCGTTGTTGCTTTTTATCTTTAATTCCACTCGAGATAATAAACATTTCAAAATCGGCAAGCCATGTGCTCTATCGAGTTGCCAAGCTTACACCAAGTATTTATTTAACAAAAACCTTTTTTATACACCTTTATTATCCAGCGTACGTACGTTGGGCGGCTATTACCCACATATATATAACATCAATTTTCATCATATTCTACATTGTATAACTATCAAAAAGTTACATATGACTGTTCAACAAGTATTTATTCAACAAAAACCTTTTTTAAACACCTTTATTATCCAGCGTACATACGTTGGGCGGCTATTACCCACGTATATATAACATCAATTTTCACCATATACTACATTGTATAATTAACAAAAAGTTACAAATGACTGTTCAAAAAGTATTTATTCAACAAAAAGTTTTTTTTCCAGCGTACGTACGTTGGGCGGCTATTACACATGATTTATTAACAACTTTTCAAGTGCCCTTTACGTAAATTGATTTTCTAATTAAAGGATTTTCAAGATCTTAAAGTGCCTGCACAACCCCGTTATACATCATCGCTGGTGCTTTCATAGTCGTCTTCATTTGTTTGATTGTCTTCAGAATCCACTTCTTCATATACAACCACTTCTTCTTCGTCATCCAGAGCCGACACCAGATCTTTTTGAAGCATGTCAACATTCCCATGAAATAAATACTGTGGTTCGTCTTTGTTGATGTACAAAGAAAACCTTTTTTTAGATCTATCAACATGCTTTCAATTTGAAAGATCTTCCTGTGTAAAAATATCGCTTCACCAAATTCAACATCAAGTACGTTTTCATGGTTAATAAAACTATTCAAAAAGTCAGTAATCTTGCCGTACTACTGAAAGTAGTGACTCCACGTATTTTCCATTTCTGACTTCAACAGGATTTGCTCTTCCTTGGATCGGTCAAGCAAATGGCATAAATCTATAGCCTTCCGTTTAACAGTAAATGGAACTGAACAATCTTCATCAGTAGGTACAGCTAGATATTCACACCAAAAATCATTGTCAGGATCTTTGACAGGATCTAATGTTAATGCGGTATGTGTATGATTAGAATGTGATTGTTTCGCCTCGTTATAAGCTGCGATATCTTTATTGACATCCTTTGTTACTCGAGTAATTTGCTTCGAAAGTCTGGATGCCAACGCTTGACCATCTGAAAAACAGAACAAACATACAGAAACATTTACAAACGTACAGAGAACATTACAAAGAAGACAACATGTAAAGTAATTTACAAACATTGCAAGTGGTATGGAACATTTATGAGATACGTATAGTTACCACAGTATTTAGACTTAAGATTTAGGAGAAACCATCTTTCAACAACATTTTTCCTCATTTGTGACAAAACACGTTTTTCTTTCCTTGACGCAACCTCGCGTTTTGCATTTTCGTACTCTGAGTCATAGTCCAGGCGGTGAGTGAGGTAGGTATCACCTGAGCGGGTAATTTACGGGAGTAGGACTATCTAGACCAGTTTTTGGCGTAGAACACGAATCCGCATGTTATTCAGTCCGACAAGGCTGCTTTTAAGAGTTATTTCCAGATATTGCGCAATTCAGCCTCATTTTCATGCAAAATCAAACGTTTTTAAGATTTAGCTATTATTATTAATAAAAACACCGACGTGATAAATAAATGAATATATAATATCGATACAATGAATCAACACAAAGTTTGCGGGGCACGGTCTGTTTAGATGGAATGGGGAGAGCTATCGTTTGTTTAAATTTCTATCATGAATACAAAGTTTACGGCACAAGGTCTGTTTAGATGGAATGGGGAGAGCTATCGTTTGTTTAAATTTCTATCATGAATACAAAGTTTACGGTGCACGGTCTGTTTAGATGGAATGGGGAGAGTTATCGTTTGTTTAAATTTCTATCATGAATACAAAGTTTACGGTGCAAGGTCTGTTTAGATGGAATGAGGAGAGTTATTGTTTGTTTAAATTTCTATCATGAATACAAAGTTTACGGCACAAGGTCTGTTTAGATGGAATGAGGAGAGTTATCGTTTGTTTAAATTTCTATCATGAATACAAAGTTTACGGTGCAAGGTCTGTTTAGATGGAATGAGGAGAGTTATCGTTTGTTTAAATTTCTATCATTAATACAAAGTTTACGGTGCAAGGTCTGTTTAGATGGAATGAGGAGAGTTATCGTTTGTTTAAATTTCTATCATTAATACAAAGTTTACGGCACAAGGTCTGTTTAGATGGAATGAGGAGAGTTATCGTTTGTTTAAATTTCTATCATGAATACAAAGTTTACGGTGCAAGGTCTGTTTAGATGGAATGAGGAGAGTTATCGTTTGTTTAAATTTCTATCATGAATACAAAGTTTACGGCACACGCTCTGTTTAGATGGAATGGGAGAGTTATCGTTTGTTTAAATTTCTATCATGAATACAAAGTTTACGGTGCAAGGTCTGTTTAGATGGAATGAGGAGAGTTATCGTTTGTTTAAATTTCTATCATGAATACAAAGTTTACGGCACACGCTCTGTTTAGATGGAATGGGGAGAGTTATCGTTTGTTTAAATTTCTATCATGAATACAAAGTTTACGGTGCAAGGTCTGTTTAGATGGAATGAGGAGAGTTATCGTTTGTTTAAATTTCTATCATGAATACAAAGTTTACGGCACACGCTCTGTTTAGATGGAATGGGGAGAGTTATCGTTTGTTTAAATTTCTATCATGAATACAAAGTTTACGGTGCAAGGTCTGTTTAGATGGAATGAGGAGAGTTATCGTTTGTTTAAATTTCTATCATGAATACAAAGTTTACGGCACAAGGTCTGTTTAGATGGAATGAAAAAAACTCAATTGCAAATGCAATTCTTGGTTTTGTAGGTGTTCCACCCCAAAGGCCAAATTGCAGAAATTGAACAAACTCTGGAGAGCATGAGCAAAACTGTACCTCAACAGTACAAAAGGTGCCTAAAAATTGAAAGAGATCCAAAATTATAATTGTGTTGAACCATCCCAGCTAAAATGAAGAAACTTTTGCAGCACATTTTACATATAACATACCTTTAACATCAACAACAGAAACACTTCTTTTGTGACGAGCTGTTTGGCATGAACAATCATACACCAGCATGTTCATGAGTTTATATGGCCAAAACATGCCATCCTACAAAGCAATGAATAACCTCGTAGAAATAAGTTGTAATCAATCCCCTTTCTTGCATTCATAAAAAATATTAGATTAGTGCTTCGTAGCATGTTTCACAATGTAAACTCTCATTTTATTTTTGCATTTTTTGTTGCAAGTGTTGAGAGAGTTAACTGTAAACACTTTTATAATATCTAGCTCATAAAGGTTACCTTAAATATTTCAACATGATGACAAATATTTATGGTTGTGTGCATCTTTAACATACAGTTCTCACAATACTTTGCCATTCGACCACAATCACTGCACCTAAACTTTGCTTCATTATCACAATGAATACATTTCAGACTGCTCCAATTTTTGCCAGCAAACTGAAATGTATTCTTTATAATTGAATGTCGCAAATTTTCCCATGCTTTTTGTTTTCTTTCAACTTTCTGGTAATAAGAAGATGATTCTTCACAATCATGGTGAACATCACTTTCAAGATCACTGTTATCTTGTTCCATTCCCAGTTCATGGCCTTCCAATGCACCACAATTATCAGGACTGTTAAAAGAACAGCTTCCTCTATGATCCTCAGTAACCAATTCTGACAAATGCACCTCCTCTCTCTCAACATGGCCATCCTCATCATGATATGTGACAGCTACAGTTGCTTTAAACCTTTTATTGCTCCTACAAAAATTATTATAAAAATGTATAAAATGAAAATAAATGTTGAAAAGTCTAACAGCTATAAGGCCGCTATTTAATGTACCTTGGCATCTTTTAAAATTACCAGCAAGAAAATCACAAATCAGAAAATATTATCGATATTACCAATGACACAATAACATAAGTTAAACGACCAAAGTACAACGTATGTATCTCCCACGACTACCTGCCGACGTTTTGTACCCGTACTTTACCGCCTTTTAGCCACGTCTCATAAGACGAATGGAGTGATTTGTTTGATGTTTTGTAGCATGTTTGTAAATGTAGATCGTCCAGGTTTGTATAGTCCTGAGAAGGACTGTTTTTGTTGTTGTTGACTGACGTTTCGACAACCTTAGCGGTAGTCATCTTCAGAGTCAAATGTTTGGTTGGTAAAACGAAAGTTGGTTTTTCTTCCGGTATATTGTAGGAGCCTTTTTCCTAGGGTTAGGGTTAACATATCTCACGTGACCGGAAACGTAAATCATTTAAATTATTCCATAGAATCGACTAGAACGCCGCACCTGAGATATCATGTAGTTGGTTGTGTCTTGTAATCTTTCTGAATTTTTGAAGGTATGTTGATTTTAAACTTTACCTTTCTTTGTTAAATTGTATTTTGATTTTGCGATTTAATGTTTCATGTCCATTTATCGATTATTTTGTTTTTCTGTAAAATATTCTACTTCCGCGCTATGTACGTATGTAAATGTTTTATAAAGATAAATTTGTTGATTTTGGTGAGATTTGGAACTAGCTCGAATCAAGTTTGGAAAATGAACTTGTTAACTTTCATATATCTTTATATAATAATAAAAAGAAATAAATTTCTACTATATAATAGTAATGTTCTACATCGATACACATCATGTGCATGGTCACGAGGCAGTAGAGGGAATAAGATATTCATGGATAATTTCGTAAAAGCACTATTGCTAATGCGCATTTAATATACACGACAAGTTTTTTTTAAAATAGACATGTTTCGACATCTTATAATGCCATCTTCAGTATGAGTGAAATAATAAGTGATACAAGGTTTATATAAAAGTAATATGATACATAAATTGCAACAATAAAAAGGAAATAAGATTAATTATTGGGGGAGCGTCCGAGCGTATTATAAACTAAATATTGTATTGAATTTATAATACACTCGGACGCTCCCCATTAATTTATCTTATTTCCTTTTATTATGTATGTATCTATATAAATCTTGCATCAATATTATTTCATATAACATCATGTCGAAACATGTTTAAAAAAACTCGTGTATATTAAAGCATTAATAATGCTTTACGAAATCGTGTAATAAAAATTAATGCCCAACATAAAGTTTTGATTAGAGCCATAGAAATAGACCAAAAAATATTGTAAAATTGAATTTATTGTAACGTTTCGTCTTTACTCAAGACATCTTCAGACCGCATCTTCAACCTTTGTTCTATTTACGAAAATTTTCATACACAACTCGAATTTACCCGAAAATCACTCACCAAAAACGGTTTTCCTTCACGTATAATTGACCAAATCACACTTCGCTTCCTTAACAACACCTCCAAACCACCTGTCTTGACTGCTCTTAAAATGCCCATCTATTTTTGTCTTCCTTTCCGGTGAAAGGTCACATACACTCCCTTCAAATTCGTACACAAATCAATAGCTTTTGTGCTGCAGCCTTCCCACATATATCTATTAAATTTGTTTTCCGCCCTTCCCTACGTATCTCTTCTTTCTTCCCCTTTAAGGACAAAATTCCCAAACCTCTGAGATCTGGTGTAGTCTATTTATTCAAGTGTCGAATCTGCAACGCCTGGTATGCACAGAAAATGTGTACACACATTCACAATGACAATACACATTTCCTGTACACACAATACAATGACGTAAGAACCAGATAACAAATGCGGCTAACCTGACGTTTACTCCTCATTTGACTCTGAAGATGACTACCGCTAAGGTTGTCGAAACGTCAGTCAACAACAACAAAAACAGTCCTTCTCAGGACTATACAAACCTGGACGATCTACATTTACAAACATGTTGTTAAACTGGGAAGTTAAAAAATTGAAACTATTCATGTTGTTATAAATATTTCAAAAATTTTCCCAGTGCAGAAGCAATTTTTAGCGCCATTTCGCTAATGACTGACCTAGAACAATTTTTGTGCCTTTCCACTCTCAAAATCCTGGCGACGCCACTACCAAAATGTAGCCAAATGCCTAAATGCAGGAAAACTAAAATGTCCAACTGTGTTGTTTTCAGCTTCCATCCTCGATATTCATTTACACGTACAAGTAAAACTGTAACATTACGTAGCTATGTTTGATCTTCAACAATTTTAGTTGTGTATAAATTCAAATTAAAGAACCAATTTATGTTGACATTAATAATTTTATGACCTTTAGATGCAGTCAAGAGAAAAAATTAATAACTCGTATCTGCAAGAAATACTTACAGATGTTGTTGAAAAGAAACTTGTTGATCTTTTTATTCAAGAATGGAACACTCATTACAAAAAATCCCACGGAGAATGGGAAAATACAAACGTCAGTGGTATGAGGTTGTTCAATAATGAAAAAACAAAAAAGAAACCTAAACCTCATGACCAACACATTCTGTCAAAATTTCAAAATGGTGACACCAGTAAGTGGGATTGTACAACACTGTTTGCAGCAATATTGTTTTCCAACTCAGTTGGAACAAAACTTGACCCAAAATCTAAGGCTGCTGTGGATAAACTTCGTGTTATCAGAAACTACTTTATCCATGAAAATAAAGGAAAAGTTTCTGATGACGAATTTCAAACAATGCTTTGTGATATTGAAAACTCATTTAAAGATTTAGTATTTTCATTCACTGAAATTAATAAAATTAAATGTCAACGAAACACATTTAATTCTTTTCGAAAACTTCCTTGCAAACCAAATCACAATGTGGTTAAACGTACAGAGTTACTTAATCAAGTCACAGCAGATCTCAATAACTTGCGCAGTACTAACAATAATGAACTAACATATTACTATATTTCTGGTAATCCTGGCAGCGGTAAATCGGAATTAGCTAGACAAGTTTGTGAAGGAATGTATAACTCGTTTGACTGGGAAAAGAATACGACATTTGTGATGACACTCGAAGGAAAAGATATCGACTCTCTTTTGAAAAGTTATGAAGACTTTTCTAAACGATTAAGCAATGATAAAACTGTCATTGAAAATATTCTGAAAGAAGCAAAAAGCAGCGAAAAAAAAATTAAAGATTTACAATTATTATTGACACAACAACTGAAATCTTGGCAAACATGGTGGATTGTTGTAGATAACGTGGTTGAACTTCATAAAATTTATCCATTATTACCTCAAGTTGGTGATTATAGCTGGAAAAATGGTCAAATTATAGTAACTGTCCAAAATACAGATGCTATACCACCAGATGGAAATCTAAATAAACACATTTCAGTTAGTCATGGTATGAATGATGAAGAATGTCGACAACTTCTATCTGTCTTTTCTGATATTCATAATAAAGATGAACATATTTTAAAAGATTTATTAGAAAAATTAGATCGTCAACCGTTGTTCCTGGCAAATGCTGCTTCCTACGTCGGTAGTGTAAAAAGTGTAAGTCCGACATTCACCTGGGAGCAATATTTTGATAAGTTGAATGAAGGAGAGCGACAGAACATGGATGGCAATTTTCAAAAAATAAACACAGCTTACTTAGGAATGAAAACTGTTATGCTAGCAGTTCAAAAAAATGCCGAAGAATCCATCTTGTTGGAACATGTTTTTAAACTTTTCTCAATAATATCTTCCGATCCCTTACCACAAGATGTTATAATACAATTTATTAAAAGCATTGATCCACAAAAATCTGCAGAAAATGTCTGTCTTCAATTAAAGCATTGTTCTTTATTCCTTCAAACGGAAAACAACGACATCCGCCTGCACAGCGTTGTACACGAAGCCATCATAAATTATTCATCGCAGACCTTTGGCTGTAAACAAAACGAAAATAATTCTAAAAAGTCTGCAGCTGATCTTGCCTGTCAAGTTGCTTGTGCACTAAATCATTTTGAAGACAGAGAAGATGAAATCAAAATAATTCCACATCTAATTAAATTCATAACAAATTCATCCTTTCAACATTTTCTAAATAAGTTGATCGATGTAAAATCATCAAAACAAAAACTTGATGAAAGAAAGTGGAAATTTGCCAATTATTTTGTAGTTGTTTTGAAAAGATTTTGCAACTATAAACTTGCAACAAAAGTACTTCATGAAATAACAGAAATTCAAGCTAAAGTGTTAGGAGTTGATCATATTGATGTTTCATATTCGTACAACGAGCTGGGTTCATTGCTTAGGAGGAATGGAGAGTATGAAAATGCTAAAGATTTTCACGAGCGAGCAATGCAAATTCAAACAAAAACATTTGGACCTGACCATGTTAATATTGCGACAACGTACAGCAATCTGGGTTTGGTTTACAATGATATGGGAGAGTACGAAAAAGCAAAAGATTTTCATGAACGAGCGATAGAAATTGAAACGAAAGCATTTGGACCTGACCATGTTAATATTGCGACAACGTACAACAATCTGGGTTCGGTTTACATAATATGGGAGAGTACAAAAAGCAAAAGATTTTTTGAACGAGCGATAGAAAAACGAAAACATTTGGACCTGACCATGTTAATATTGCGACAACGTACAACAATCTGGGTTTCGTTTACTTTAATATGGAGAGTACGAAAAAGCAAAAGATTTTTATGAACGAGCGATAGAAATTCAAACGAAAGCATTTGGACCTGACCATGTTAATATTGCGTCAACGTACAACAATCTGGGTTTGGTTTACGATAATATGGGAGAGTACGAAAAAGCAAAAGATTTTTATGAACGAGCGATAGAAATTCAAACAAAAACATTTGGACCTTACTATGTTAATATTGGGACAGCGTACACCAATCTGGGTTCGGTTTACAGAAAAATGGGAGAGTACGAAAAAGCAAAAGATTTTTATGAACGAGCGATAGAAATTTACACGAAAACATTTGGACCTGACCATGTTAATATTGCGACAACGTACAACAATCTGGGTTTGGTTTACTTTAATATGGGAGAGTACGAAAAAGCAAAATATTTTTATGAACGAGCGATAGAAATTCAAACGAAAACATTTGGACCTGACCATGTTAATATTGCGTCAACGTACAACAATCTGGGTTCACTTTACAGAAATATGGAAGAGTACGAAAAAGCAAAAGATTTTTATGAACGAGCGATGAAAATTCAAACAAAAACATTTGGACCTGACCATGTTAATATTGCGACAACGTACAACAATCTGGGTTTGGTTTACTGTAATATGGGAGACTACGAAAAAGCAAAAGATTTTTATGAACGAGCGATGAAAATTCAAGCAAAAACATTTGGACCTGACCATGTTAATATTGCGACAGCGTACAACAATCTGGGTTTCGTTTACTTTAATATGGAAGAGTACGAAAAAGCAAAAGATTTTTATGAACGAGCGATAGAAATTCAAACGAAATTATTTGGACCTGACCATGTTAATATTGCGTCAACGTACAACAATCTGGGTTCACTTTACAGAAATATGGAAGAGTACGAAAAAGCAAAAGATTTTTATGAACGAGCGATGAAAATTCTAACAAAAACATTTCGACCTGACCATGTTAATATTGCGACAACGTACAACAATCTGGGTTCGCTTTACTGTAATATGGGAGACTACGAAAAAGCAAAAGATTTTTATGAACGAGCGATGAAAATTCAAGCAAAAACATTTGGACCTGACCATGTTAATATTGCGAGAGCGTACAACAATCTGGGTACGGTTTACAATAATATGGGAGAGTACGAAAAAGCAAAAGATGTTTATGAACGAGCGATAGAAATTGAAACGAAAACATTTGGACCTGACCATGTTAATATTGCGACAACGTACAATAATCTGGGTTTGGTTTACAGTAAAATGGGAGAGTACGAAAAAGCAAAAGATTTTTGTGAACGAGCGATAGAAATTGGCACGAAAACATTTGGACCTGACCATGTTAATATTGCGACAGCGTACATCATTCTGAGTTTTGTTTACAGTGAAATGGGAGAGTACGAAAAAGCAAAAGATTTTGATGAACGAGCGATGGAAATTGTAATAAAAGCATTTGCACCTGAACATGTACTGCAATAATATACAACAATCTTCAATTGGTTATAAACAAACTATAGACATTGAAACTGAAGCATTTGGACTTCTATTTATCTTTTATTTGCTATAAGTTAAAATACTCCTGTCATTGATAAAACGTACAAGGAGATAGAACAAGAGGAAACGAATTTGTTGCTCATTTTCAATGATGAAGAAAATCAATTTCTTTTTTCATTTTAGGTATGCCTTCTTTATACTAATGATTATTAGAAACAGTTTTATTGTTGATTTCTTTTAACAAAGGTTCAATCTTTTATATATATTATTGACAATATTCAAACATTTGTATTTTTTTAAGTTTTCAACTGTCATTTATTTACTGGAACAGTTTTTATTAAGAAACTTGTATGGAACTATCAAAGTATATTTATGAGTTTAGTTTGCAATATCTAGCTATTCAGAAGTTGTGAAGTTCCTTAACAATCAAGAACAAACTATACATGTCTTTGACCATGCTAATTTAAGTCGAATTTATGTTGAGATCAATAACACTCAAAAGTATCCTGAAAAAGAGCTTGATGTTAATTAAACAGCTGCTAATAGCAATTACAGCAGAGCCTACATGATGTTTCAAGACGCTGCAATGAAGTACAGCGATCTAGATACAGGCTCTCAAGTAAGCTTAGGAGACTCTGCAAGCCTGGTTCCTCTTTACCATTTCGATGTAAGTCATCATGCCGATGTTTTGAGAAAGAAAGAATATAGGGTAATATTCATATGTGCATGGTTTACTTTACTACATTCTAGTACTACAAGCAATTTTAATTCAACAGATTATATGTAGCATATGAATTTATGAATATGAGTTTTTTGCCAATTATTAATCTGCCCCTGTCCATGAGTATGTATGCTATAGCAAAACTGTCTGTTGAATCACAATTACTTAGAGAAAGATAATTAGTTTTTTGGTTTAATTTTTTCCAGCTAAAAGCAGAGTTAGGACGTATTTTGGAGAAGAGTGATGTTGTGCAAGACATGAAGGAATGATGCAATTTGCACAAATATAAAATGCTTTCACTCGTGTGTTTTTCTGACAAAACACACGAGTGAAAGCATTTTATATTTGTGCAAATTGCATCGTTCCTTCATGTCTTGTGAACATTAAGTTATACGGAAATTTTTAACGGTCGAATTTGAAAATGAACTATACTGATAGACATTATGGATAAATAAATTAGCAAGTGTGAATCTTATAATAATGACGCTTGTTTCTTGGTGTTTCTGCCCGACTTCGTCGTTCATTCATTGTCCAGTTAGAAGGCCTACAGACATAGCTACTCTATAAAAAACACGTTATAAATGTCAGCATAATGAAGGAACAAAAATAGAAATTAATAATATAGAAAAGAACAAAACCTTAATACCTGATTTCCAAGGGTTGTCCAGGTCAGTTTGATCCAGGAGACTTGGTCGGTCTCTTCCTTTTTCACCGCGTAGTTTTTACGTTGTATGGTTGAAATTAATTTTAAAATTTTTATCTTAGTAATTCAATGAACCTTACTTGCATCATTGCAATTTTCTTAATAAACGTTAAAGAAAATTACTAAAAAGTAGCGAGTGAAAGCCAGCTATTTTCTCACAGCAAGTGACATCTTTTATCGACACTTTTTTAAGTTGGGTGTATTTAATGATTAAGTTTCAAATTATAAAGATAGACAATCAGGATCCTTTTCAACTATCTCATGCAGTTAGTCATACAAGTTAATTTTAACACTTATATCTACTCAACTTACAAACCACAAGATATACATCGAGTTTTTCCACTGGCTTGTCTCCATCTTCGTAGAATGTAGTCCATTTTTATAGTGCAATCACTTCAATGTAAATGTTCATACGTACATATGCCGTTATGAAATGTCCATTTAACATGTCGATACCATTCCATACACGAAGTAAGGAGCTTCATCAACCAATAAAGTAGCTACTGATATGATGAATCGCCATTTCGATAAACTACAATTCACAATGCACTGTTATGGTAACTTCAAGCGAAGGAAAAGGGACCGCCCTTCAATACCCTAGTTTTATCATTACTCAAAGAATGCTTAGTGCAGAGTTGATCTTCTGTGAGTATCAGTTGACCAGAATTAGGTGGGTTCATATAACAATGGGGCCCATCATCATTATATGAACAAACAACTGACATCAACGAAGAATCCAAACTACAAATAAACATTCTTGGCCATGAATCACCATGACACATGAGTAATGACAAACTAGTAAGAGTAATTGAAGTGAATGACACAGGTGGTAAAGGGACTTTCACAACTCCATTCTTGTGGGATCTACAATATAAGAAAATATGAACACAGAAATGAGATTTCATGATGAATAACTCTGCATATGACGTTAGTTTGCGTTTTAAATTCTTAATCAGATATATTGAGAATGAACAAATTGTTATATGTTTTCTGTTTGACTATTTAAACGGTAGAACATTCACCTTCATTGCACGAATAGCTTTAGTGAGTTGAGTTTGAACGATGTAACAAGTTTCGCACGATCAATGGCTTATAATCGTGATGAAAGCATTTTACAGTGAAAGCTTTCAGATTACGAAGCCTACACTATGACCAGTTCATTATTCCATGTAACTCATACTTCAGTATTCGTCAGTAAAAAGACAGAATTTACCTTTCTTCCTACAACGTTAAAGTGAGTAATTTTCTGTTGAAGTAAAACGCACGAATTTAAACATGTTGTTTCTTTAATTTCATAACTAAAATTATTATTGTGATTGGTCCCATGTCACCTTTCACAAAGACAACAAGTCATCCTTCAATGCGTTTTTAAGGTCGGTTTCAAACATCGCATTTTGCATGTGCCGAATGTATTTAAGACAAAAGATAATAAGGAATTTTATCTCATTATCTTTTGTTTTAAATGCATTGGGCGCATGTAAAATGCAATGTTTGAAACAGGCCTTAAAAACGCATTGAAGGATTACTTGTTGTCTTTGTGAAAGGTGACATGCTCCTATGGAGCCAATCACAATAATAATTTTAGTTATGACGTCAATTAAAGAAACGTTAACATATTTAAATTCGTGTGTTTTACTTCAACAGAAAATTCAAAGTCAAATGACTACCGCTAAGGTTGTTGAAAGTTAAATATTCGCTGTGCAAATTATTTACCATCCAGTCATAGTGGACTTTGCTCTAAGAAACTTGACAATTTACAAGGTGTAAATACTGTGAAATCAACTCTAAAATCTCGCAAAAAACTTATTCTCAATGACCAATGAACGAAAACGGTCACTTTCAATTTCGCGTTGGAAATGGGCTCTTGGTAGATAAATGAAAAATGTGCCACAGGAAAACAAATAGTAAAATATCTTCGCAAAGTGAAAGTTTTAATGAGAAAAACATGTTATTTTATCATTATGAAAATGTTATCTATGTTCTTTTCACATGCTTTCCTTGACTTTGAAAAATGTTCAAAAAAACAATAATTTTACATGGGTAAACAAAGAAATTGTTCCCGTGAGATGAAATGTAACATGTAAAATTTACCTTCCATCTTTACTAAATGATGTTTGTCGAACAGCTGCTGTACATTTAGGATGAGAGAGAACTTTCTGCCTGCGTGGGAATTAAACAAATAAAATTGCTTTAAGATGATGTATGTTGTTACCATTGAACATGGAACGCTACCTGAAGCAAATAATTAAAGCCAAATCTTACATCGAGACACGCGAGATTACACCCAGACACGCGTGTTTAGTGTTTCGAGATTCTCTCGCGGAGTGAAAATTGATTGACTACACATGTCCCCTGGAGTCCTCTTCATTATCAGGACCATCCACTTGAGACATACGTAAAGGTGGTTTCCAGTCCATTTCCTCTTCATCCTCCGAGCTGCAAGTGAAGAAGATAGCTACTTAAAACTTTAGAGAAGATTGATTGTTTTTCATTTAATTTGTTTACAGTGTTTGCACAGGATTATGAAAAGCAAGGAGAACTTTGGGAGAACTCGATCAGTGATGACCAGAGTCAAAGGCTTGCACCTGCTCCAAAGTTCTCACAAACGTCTCCGAGGTTTGCATAAGCCTGTGTAAACACGAAAAATATCTTTTACTTCTTTTATAAAACAACGATAATACAAAACAGACAAATTTAAAACAAATGTTTTAATTTTTCCTGTAACATGTATTCATGATTGATTTGGAAATTCGCTTTGATTGATTTTAATTGATTGAGCTCAGATAGGTTCGCTCATGTCAAGTTTGCTAATGTTAACTCAACTAAAGACAAATCAACGCACGCATTTTTCTGTCTATATTTTATAAACAAAAATGGATACTTTTACCTTTGGGAATCATGTTCCTCTTCATCATCTTTCCAAAATGGCTGTAACATTAATATTGATTCTTTATCTTCATCAATATCTTCATCATGTTCATCATCACTACCTTCTCAATAAACAATAAAATAAAAAAGATTCATTGTAAAACTTCATATAAGACAAATTTTACTAAACACAAATGAAACTGTACACAATCACCATTGATATCCATGTCTAATTATGGTAGTTTTGATCTCAATACAATATTCATATAATGGAATGTTCATACTTACTTTGTGAGCCCGCAATATGAGAACATTCATGCAGCAGTGTTTCATTGTCATCTTTATCCAAACTCATTAAAATCTCCACCAATTCTTTATCCAGCTCTCCAGCTAAATAAATGTCTTATATTACCAAAAATTTGAGCCCTTGAGAGAGAAAGAATTATTTTTGGTGAATAATACATGAATTGCTGGCCTGGCTGGCTTGTAGAACATCTATAACTGACTGATCAACAACTGGACTATCCACATCCACATCTAAAACAGAAAAAATAGAAATATTTTATTGTATGATTATAACTTGAAATAAGTTGACAAAAATCATCTAACCTTGGTTTATTGTTGCTTCATACTGTGGTTGCTTGCCTTCTGACAAAATACTTTGAGAAAATTCTTTAAAGTCTTCGGGTGAAAGAGATTTTTCCATTGTTTCCAACTCACTTTGACTGCAAGTTTATTTGAAATTTATAAAAATATAAAGTTAAATCATTAAACATCACAAGGTCAAATCTTACATCACTTTATTTCTTTTATCAATAATTTCTTTGATTCTTTGTTTAAATTCTTTCTCAAGACTCAATACAGGTGTTTCAATACCAGTGTGCGAATTAACGGTGTGCAATGTGCAATTTACACATCGTTTTAGCTAAAATGAAAACAATTGCACATCACTTTTTCAAACGATATGCAAAAAACTTCGTCATTGATTACTACCACATAAATTGAAAAAAGTTTTCAAGCTTAATCTTTCCTGATCTTTACTTTATAAACGAGTGTGTTGCACGACATTAAAATCCATGTTGGCACAATGTCATCAAATTTAAAGACGTTGTCACGGAGACTGGGAAGTCTGTCAACAATCTACATACATGGTGATTATATGCTTATGACAATAGGGGTGTAATACATTATTAATGTCAATTTTTGCATTAGCGTTGTTTTGTAAACCGTTACGTACTGTTTTTGGCATCATAGCTATTTTGAGTATTTTCAGTAAAATCAGGAAACATTTTGATTTTGATTGTTTAAATAAGACAAAAAAAAACTTAAATACGCCAAATTTGAAAATAAACCAAAGGGAATTTCGATTTTAAATAAGTCTAACGTGAGAAAAAGAAGCGAAATTTGGCAGAAATTATTGAGCCAAACTGGCAACCTTGAACAAATATGATGTTTTTTATCGTAAGCAAACATCAAGGATGTTACTGTTAATAATCAGAAAGCAAAAGTACATTCGATTATTCTCTTTTCACTTTTACACAAAAAGACGAGAGAAAAACATGCGCAAAAAATTTCTCTCATACATTTGTAACTGGATCAGCGATTGTAACGAAAAACACTGTCGTAAATCATATGAATTTGTTCACGTTTAAAAATATTAATTTAGCAATTAGCGGTATGTAATAATTAACGTAATATCGATTTCATTATGCCTCTAAAGAAACACTTTTGTCAAAAAAAATTGCACATCATTTTTTCTCAACTAATTCGCACACTGAATACGATCTAACGACAAAAAAAGTTGAATTTTTACCTACGTATTGTTAACTGTTAAGTAAAAGAAAATTAATAAAGGAGCAGTTGTACACATCTTCATGTAACGATGACAATGTTTAAACTTAAGAAAACATGAAATTTTATACACTAGAAAACAGCTGTATTTTGGGATATATAAGTCAGAGCCTCATAAATCATAAATACCATAACAATATAAAATACATGAAATGTATTGTGAGCTATACAATGATGTGACATGTATTTTTTTGTACCTTACCTTGTGAAACAGGAAGAGCAACTTGTGAAGATAGTCCAATATCTCGTCTTCGTTGTCTTTCATCTTCCCACATAGCAGTTATACCAGGATTATGACCAATACAACCTTCATAAACATAATAAACTCATTAAAGATGTATAAACAGTAAAATGAAGACATAAAGATAAGTAAATTTTACTTTCAACATTTATTTGATTCAAGATGTCTTCAGCAATTACATCAACTTCAAGTTCACAACGACTGACTTTTTCACAGTAGGATCCAGGCATAAATTTCTAAATAATGACAAATAACAAACATTAAAATGATGAATATCAACTGTAAAGATAGTTATCACAAAGAATCATTCCAAAGTTAAACTAATTTTTAAATGTAAATTCTGTAATCTGGATTGAGCATTGACTCTAAATCTTGGGATAAATCATACATGTGTCAAATTTAGGATTAAGGATTTACACAAATCCTTTTGGTTTCAATTAATCTTCAAGTGTAAAATATATGAATCAGACAAACCTAGGAATAGTGTCTTCATTCCAGTGTTGAGATGAAGGAAAATTGAGAAATGAATTTGGAGATGAACCATGAAGTGGAATTGATTTATTATTATATGAAAGATTTTTATCTATAAAATTCAATTTGATGGTAAATAATCATTTGTGGTGTTAGATTTTTATAGAATGCTGAAAAATCAATAATGAAACTTTCCTGTTTTTGAAGAAATTCCTCTAAAATGAACTTTTCTTACATGAAGTAAGTTCATACCATAAAGATTGTAATCAATTAGAAACTAAAATAAACGATATTTCAATATAATTCTTATAATGTAACTTAGTGAAAATCTATAGAAGTTGACCATCCAGGTAGGAAAAGACTAAAGAAGGTCAGTGGCATTAGTGTTGAATGACATTTTAACATTGTTACCAGTAATCATCTCATCTAGATGTGAAAACATCAATCAAGACTACCCCAACAGTCCTTCTCAATACTGTAGTATCCTTTATGATCAACATCAACAAACATGCAGCTATACTTCCACAATGTGTTCAAACCATTCACTTTATTGACAAAATGTTTTGCACATGAAATTTACAGCTATAATCCATAATGGAATGTTTTTATTGGGCACCTGAGATCTGATGTATAATTATAGCAAAGTGGGCACCTATACATGCAAATGTTGCATCTCTGATGTCGGTAGAAAAGTCAGCCCATTTTTTACTCCTATGTACAATACAAATATTGCTTTAATCAATTACTTTGAAAAACAATGAATGAGATTAATTTCTAAAGAAATAAACAACAAACTTTGCAGGCCTTGCCCCCTGTCTGGTGCACAGTTTACAAACTAACCACTCCAGTCTGGGTTATAACAATCAAAGATGTGTTTTTTCCTCATTAATAATAAAAAACAATAATTACCTGTAGAATATAAGGAACATGAGCTTTGTGTGGTTGAAATGACTTGTTCAATATAGCTCCATTCTGAAGAAGATCAACAAGTCTGAAAAAAAATGAAAAATTTTGATGTCGTTTTATGTTAGAACAACATGAAAAATATATCTTACTTGGGAATTATTCTTGGATTGTACAACTCCATCTTAATAAACTCTTCTTCGTTCTCATGATAACCATAAAATGGTCTAAAAATAAAATCATTTTGGGTGAATAATATTGAAACGTTATTGGGTCGAAAATGGAAGATTTTGTATTGTGATGTAAAGAAGAGAGTAAAAAAGATTTAATAATAGTAAGCTTTGTCAACATGAGGAGAAAACAAGGAAAATAACTTACATTTTTTTAACAATTTCAGTTTTATGAACATATTTCATAGAAGATGATGTTCTACCAAACGCAACTTGAACAGCAAAGTCTACACTTGTCGTAAATTGTTTCAGATATTTATCTGTGGGTTTAGTTCCATCGTAAGGTATGTATAAGTAAGGAAATACTTGATGAATATGAACACAAGTTTTCTGTCCACCAGGAGTTGAGCCAAATATCCTCAAAACTGGAACACGGTTAACATTCGCCTCATGAAATTTAGAAAACAAAATATCTAAGCCATCTATAGGTTTTCCCACGTAAAATCTGCATCTACAATCCTAACAGAAAACATTCTGTTGTTCCAAGTAAGAAAATATATCGTCAATTAAAATTTTTGAAAGACGAAAGACGAGAGTTGAATCCGCCATATTTGTTTTAGATTATAGATTAGCCAATCAAAGATTTTATAATCAAACCCTTATACCAAGTCATCGTAATCACCTTTTTGGGATTAGATGGGATTTAGAAATTTTCCAAGGGTGAGCATGACTTTATAGACCTCGCTAGAAAGGCTCACGCGTTTGGCGTTAGAAAATATGCTCCCCAGAAGTTCATGTCTTTCTTCATGTCTAACTACGACAATGCATGTAAAGGATTTCCGCTTTGGTCGAGCAAAATAGTGTCCGCATCCTGATGTTTTTGGTCCCGTACACCCATGTCAATACTGAAAATTAATAATAGTTAAATGTGTACAACATTTATGAGTTGATTGAGTTGAACTGAATTTGAATTTGCAATAAAATTTCTAAATCAATCCCTGTCGTGTATATTTCAATTATAGCTAAAATATAAAATTTGCTCATCTCATTTTATCGTCTCGCTGTTATGAACAGAATTCAATATTTTACAATAAAAACAGCAGGTGATTAAAATCAAGCATTTATTGAACATTCCAATTTCTTTATTATCAAGAAAAAGCAAAGACATCATGTAGATGGTTGCGTCTTCTTTAATCTTTCTTAATTTGTTAAGGTATTTTAATTGATAAGTTTACCTATCAGAGTGTCATTGTTTGTCCTTATGTCTAGAATTTTGTTATATTTGTCATAAAAAACCTGAATGTCATTTTCCTGGTGGAATTCGCGCTTCATATGTTCAGGGGCTGCGGAAGTATCTCAAAAGGGGCACTGACCGAAAAAGGCATGTGAGTTTGCAGCTTACTGTTTTAGTATATTACAGATATGCATTGTTTCATGAATCATGATTAATTTTCAAAGTCTGCAAAATATTGGTAGACATTCTTAGAATGCTATGCGTATTCTCTACTGCTCGGCGTGCGTGCTAACAAATTGAACTAAGATTACTACATGAACAATTTTATTAAGTAATGCGATCTCATTAGAATTTCCCAAAAAATCTAACCCTACGTTCGTTTTTCAGAACAAAGTCCTTAGCTATTAAACGTAAGTCCAGTTCATCAGTTCTGGCCTTGTTTACATGCATAACAATAAGATTATTGTAGCGTGCTGCCGTCATTGTGCTCGTGAGATGTGTCTTGACAAGCCGCTGGCATGAAAAAGATCGTTCTCCTGAGGCTGCGCTCATTGGAGCAAGAAGGTAAATCTGCAAGAGTTGGACAATAGGTAAATCTGCGAGATAATTCTTTCAAGAAGCTTTAACTCCGCCTTCAGTTGGTCAAAGTCGAGGTCATTTTTCGTGTTCAACTTCAACATTCAACTCTAACTTACGCCCGTTTGCTGCATTAATGAGCACGGTTTCGATGTTCATCTATACAGAATATGTTTTTTGATCGAAGCGCTCCTGTAGTGAAGCCAAGCACGCATCAATTGCCTCAACATACTGGGCGCGGTGGGCATCTTTCGCAGTTTGGAAATGATGTTGCTCACCATCTCCGTGTTGAAGTTGCCACGGAACTTTCTTCGGTCTTGGTTGTGTTGGATCGCCTGCAAAGTTGATAGCCTTGCTTGAAGCAACTACTTGGTCGTAAAACAAAGAGAAGTTGTCTCGTTGACGCTGCAAGTTTGTCTTCAAAGCATTTATGCAAGTATTAGTTGACAAACGAAGACAACCCCAATCGACAAACGCGATTTTTGATCCATCTGGGTAATCAAAATCAAAAACTAAGCTATAGCTGATTTCGCATGATGCCGACAGACTTTGTTCTACTCTCGGGGCTACTTGTATCTAAGAAAAACTTCTTCAGTCCAATTTTACCTAAAACAAGGGCATTTCTATACCATGAAAAAGGGCACTTTCATTCGAGAAAAAGGGCACATTTTTCCCTTTTGCAAAACGTGGGGGGGCACTTGCCCCCAATGCCCCCCGGTTCCGCGGCCTCTGCATATGTTTTATATTGATACATCTATTGATTTTGGTGGGATTTTCTCAATAACACATTGGATAATTTATCATTTCAAAATAGTGACCTTTCTTGCATTATCACCAACAATTAATTTCATTAGTCTTTTCAAATATCATTGGTACGGCAGGGCTAAAAAATCAACAAAATGAATCAAAATTATGACACGTCACAGACTTTTAGTTGTGCATATCATTAAGTGCAATAATTTTAATTTTATCTAACATGGCTTTTATCAAGAAGAATTTTTTTCTCATTCATAAAGTCATTTATCTCTTTATCTTATTTGTACCACAGATGATGACATAAAAACGTTTTGCTAGGTATGTCTTTAGAAATTGCGCCTACTTGGGGTGGAAAGCTCAATTCTTCACGTGCTAGTACACGTGATTTTTTTCTGGTCTATATTTGTTCAACTTGTTGTAAGATAGACTATTTAAAATATTTGTTTGCGTCAAAAGTTCAAAAAATGACAAAACTTTGCATGATGAGCTGCCAAGTCCAAACGCTATCAATTTTGGAGTATCTCTGATTACTGAGATGTGACAAAATTAATCAAAATTAGAAACTTCGAGATTAATTACTCTGATATTCCCTTTTTAAATGAAGACCGCCCCTAAATCTTGAGCCCCCCAACTTTTACTTGCTTCTCACGCCCTGATCAAATTATTTGTTTATCCGGATCAAAAGTTTACAAAATGACAAAACTTCATTGACCCCGTTTGAAAGTTGGAACGCTGACAGTTTATCGATTTTCTTATCTTCTTGAGTTATAGATCTTTAATTTTTGAGCTTTCTTACTTGTAAGATGTTGGCTGCCCCGTCTTCCTTTATGATTATTTCAGTCAGTTTGCATGTAAGTCAGGATGTTCAATAATTGAAATAAATAATAGTAAACTGCGAAAGGTTTATTGGCATAAAGCTTCCAAGTCAAAACTTCTTTGTGTTTACTTCAGTCATAGCTAAAATAAAAAATTTGCATTTCATATTTAATTGGATATGACCAGAATTCAATGTTTTACAATAAAAACAGCAGGTGATTAAAATCAAGCATTTATTTAACATTCCGATTTTTTTATTATCAAGCAAAAGCAAACACATCATACAGTTGGGTGCGTCGTTTTTAATCTTTCTGAATGAAGGTATGTTGATTTTAATGTTTACTCCTTTTATGTAATGGTGTATTTTAACCTTCTGATTTAATGTTTTGTGTACATGTATCAATTTTTTTTGTTTTGATGTCACGAATATTGTAGTTAAATATAACTTATAAATTAGTGCCACGTATGTTTTATATGGATAAATTTTCTTCATTTTGGTGGGATTTTCAAACACAGATAAATTTTGGATACATTACACGTGGAAAATACGACTTTTCTCACATCAATACCAATTTACTCCAATCGTTTATTTCAAATTATATTAATACAGCAAAGTTAATAAATAAACGTGTTGAGTCAAAATAATGACACGTCAAAGAATGTTAGACATACATGTCATTATGCGCAATAAGTTTACTTTTTCTAACATGGCTTTTATCATAACGTGTACAACATTTTATACAATATAGGACTCGAATATTCACATCGAAAGAGAGTATGAAGTTTATTATCTAGACGTTTACATTTCGCAAATTTTGCGTTAGATATCTATGGAACAATTAGTTGCTACAGATTTGCATGATCACAATTTTTGTGTTGTTTCTGTGTCTTTGTTGAAAGATATTTTTGATATGAATAACATTTGTTGACTTTCATGAGTTTTTTAAACAATCACAAATTTTTTATCGTCTCGCTGTTATGAGCAGAATTCAATATTTTACAATAAAAACAGCAGGTGATTAAAATCAAGCATTTATTGAACATTCCAATTTCTTTATTATCAAGAAAAAGCAAAGACATCATGTAGATGGTTGCGTCTTCTTTTATCCTTCTAAATTTGTTAAGGTACGTTGATTATAAAGTTCACCCATCATAGTGTCATTGTTTGTTCTTATGTCTAGAATTTTGCTATATTTGTTATAAAAAACCTGAATGTCATTTTCGTGGTGGAATTCGCGCTTCATATGTTTTATATTGATACATCTGTTGGGTTCGGTGGGATTTTCTTAATAACACATTGGATAATTTATCATTTCAAAATACTGACCTTTCTTGCATTATCACCAACAATTAATTGCATTAGTCTTTTCAAATATTGTTGGTACGGCAGGGCTAAAAAATCAACAAAATGAATCAAAATTATAACACGTCACAGAAGTTCACTTATTCATATCATTATGTGCAATAATTTTAATTTCATCTAACATGACTTTTATCAAGAATAATTTTTTTCTCATTCATAAAGTCATTTATCTATTTATCTTATTCTTAACACAGATGATGACATAAAAACGTTTTGCTAGGTATGTCTTTAGAAATTGCGCCTACTTGGGGTGAAAAGCTCAATTCTTCACGTGCTAGTACACGTGACTTTTTTCTGGACTATAATTGTTAAACTTGTTGTAAGATAGACTATTTAAAATATTTGTTTGCGTCAAAAGTTCACAAAATGACAAAACTTTGCATGATGAACTGTCAAGTCCAAACGCTATCAATTTTCAAGTATCTCTGATTACTGAGATGTGACAAAATTATTCGAAAGTAGAGACTTCGAGATTAATTACTCTGAAATTCCCTTTTTAAATGAAGACCGCCCCTAAATCTTGAGCCCCCCAACTTTTACTTGCTTCTCACGCCCCTGATCAAATTATTTGTTTATCCGGATCAAAAGTTTACAAAATGACAAAACTTCATTGACCCCGTTTGAAAGTTGGAACGCTGACAGTTTATCGATTTTCTTATCTTCTTGAGTTATAGATCTTTAATTTTTGAGCTTTCTTACTTGTAAGATGTTGGCTGCCCCGTCTTCCTTTATGATTATTTCAGTCAGTTTGCATTTAAGTCAGGATGTTCAATAATTGAAATAAATAATAGTAAACTGCGAAAGGTTTATTGGCATAAAGCTTCCAAGTCAAAACTTCTTTGTGTTTACTTCAGTCATAGCTAAAATAAAAAATTTGCATTTCATATTTAATTGGATATGACCAGAATTCAATGTTTTACAATAAAAACAGCAGGTGATTAAAATCAAGCATTTATTTAACATTCCGATTTTTTTATTATCAAGCAAAAGCAAACACATCGAACAGTTGGGTGCGTCGTTTTTCATCTTTCTGAATTTGTGAAGGTATATTGATGTTAATGTTTACTCCTTTTATGTAATGGTGTATTTTACCCTTCTGATTTAATGTTTTGTGTACATGTATCAATTTTCTTTGTTTTGATATCACGAATATTGTAGTTAAATATAACTTATAAATTAGTGCCACGTACGTTTTATATGGATAAATTTTCTTCATTTTGGTGGGATTTTCAAACACAGATTAATTTTGGATTAATTACACGTGGAAAATACGACTTTTCTCACATCAATACCAATTTACTCCAATCGTTTATTTCAAAATATATTAATACAGCAAAGTTAATAAATAAACGTGTTGAGTCAAAATAATGACACGTCAAAGTATGCTAGACATACATGTCATTATGTGCAATAACTTTACTTTTTCTAACATGGCTTTTATCTTAACGTATACAACATTTTATACAATATAGAACAAGAATATTCACATCGAAAGAGAGTATGAAGTTTTTTATCTAGATGTTTACATTTCGCAAATTTTGCGTTAGATATCTATGGAACAATTAGTTGCTACAGATTTGCATGATAACTATTTTGTGTTGTTTCTGTGTCTTTGTTGAAAGGCATTTTTGATATGAATAACATTTGTTGACTTTCATGAGTTTTTTTAAACAATCACAAATAAATTTTAGAAAATTTAACGTTAGAAAACACTGAACTGTCCAGCATCATCGCCAGCAATACGAGGTAATTAATCAAATATTCCTATGGTTAATTTCAAATATTATTCATACAACAGGTCTAAAAAATCAACAAGATGAATCAAAATTATGACACGTCACAGAATTTCAGCTATGCATATTATAAATGCGGAATGATTTTAATTTTATCTAATATGGCTTTTATCAAAAGGAATTTTTTTCCTCTTTCATATAGTCATCTTTCTATTTATCTTATTCGTAACACAGATGATGACATAAAAACGTTTTGTTAGGTATGTCTTTAGAAAATGCGCCCACTTGGAGTAAAAAGCGCACATCTTCACGTGATAGTACACGTGATTTTTTTCTGGTCTATAATTGTTAAACTTGTTGTAAGATAGACTATTTAAAATATTTGTTTGCGTCAAAAGTTCACAAAATAACAAAACCTTGCATGATGAACTGTCAAGTCCAAACGCTATCAATTTTGAAGTATCTCTGATTACTGAGATGTGACAAAATTAATCAAAACTAGAGACTTCGAGAATAGTTACTCTGAAATTCAATTTTTAAATAAAGACTGCCCCTAAAATCTTGAGTTCCCCAACTTTTACTTGCTTCTCACGCCTCTTATCAGATTATTTGCTTATCCGCATCAAAAGTTTACAAAATTAAGAAAGTTCATTGACCACGTTTCAAACTTGGAACGCTGACAATTTCAGAGAAGCTCTGTTTATCGATGTTCGATAATTGAAATAAATAATAGTAAACTGTCAAAGGTTTATATGCATAAAGCTTCCAAGTCAAAACATTTTTGTCTTTATTTGAGTCATTGCTAAATTGAAAAATTTGCATTTTATATTCTATTGGGTATGAACAAAATTCAATATTTTACAATAAAAACAGCAGGTGATTTAGATCAATCATTTATTTAACATTCCGATCTCTTTATTATCAAGCAAAAGCAAACACATCATACAGTTGGGTGCGTCGTTTTTAATCTTTCTGAATTTGTGAAGGTATGTTGATTTTAATGTTTACTCCTTTTATGTAATGGTGTATTTTAACCTTATGATTTAATGTTTTGTGTACATGTATCAATTTTTTTTGTTTTGATGTCACGAATATTGTAGTTAAATATAACTTATAAATTAGTGCCAAGTACGTTTTATATGGATAAATTTTCTTCATTTTGGTGGGATTTTCAAACACAGATAAATTTTGGACACATTATACGTGGAAAATACAACTTTTCTCACATCAATACCAATTTATTCCAATCGTTTATTTCAAATTATATTAATACAGCAAAGTTAATAAATAAACGTGTTAAGTCAAAATAATGACACGTCAAAGTATGTTAGACATACATCTCATTATGTGCAATAATTTTACTTTTTCTAACATGGCTTTTATCAAGACGTGTACAACATTTTATACAATATAGGATTAGAATATTCACATCGAAAGAAAGTTGGATGTTTACAATTCGCAAATTTTGCGTTAGATATCTATGGAACAATTAGTTTCTACAGATTTGCATGATCACTATTTTTGTGTTGTTTCTGTGTCTTTGTTGAAAGGCATTTTTGACATGAATAACATTTGTTGATAATGATGGGTTTTTGAGACAATTACAAATAAATTTTACATAATTTAACGTTGGAAAACACTGAACTTTCCAGCATCATCGCTACCAAGACGATGTAATTAATCAAATATTCCGATGGTTCATTTCAAATATTTTTCATACAACAGGTCTGAAAATCAACAGGATGAATCAAAATAATGACACGTCATAGAAGTTCAGTTATGCATATCATTATGTGCAATAATTTTAATTTTATCTAACATGGCTTTTATCAAGAAGAATTTTTTCCTCATTCATAAAGTCATCTATCTATTTATCACATTCCTAACACACAGATGACATAAAAACGTTTAGCTAGGTATGTCTTTAGAAATTGCGCCTACTTGGAGTGAAAAGCTAACTTCTTCATATGATAGTACACATGATTTTATTTTGGTCTATAATTGTTAAACTTGTTGTAAGATAGATAATTTAAAATATTTTTTTGCGTCAAAAATTCACAAAATCAAAAAAACTTTGCATGATGAACTGTCAAGTCCAAACGCTACCAGTTTTGAAGTATCTCTGATTACTGAGATGTGAGAAAATTAACCGCCTTACCTAATATCAGTCGTCAAAAATAATTATTGGAAAAGTTGTTGTTTATAATCTTAATTTTTTTGAGCTATCTTATTAGTAAAAATGGTATTATATATTTTGCCTGGCTGCCTCAACTTTGCGTTTGTTAATAGTTTAGTTTCCAGAACATTTCAATAATTCAAATAAATATATGTAAACTGTGTATAAGGTTTATGAAACTTAACTGAAACATAATTTGTTGTAAAATTTATAAATCATCCCTTCTTCGTGTATTCTCATCAGTCATAGCTAAAATATAAAATTTACCCATCTCATTTTATCGTCTCGCTGTTATGAACAGAATTCAATATTTTACAATAAAAACAGCAGGTGATTAAAATCAAGCACTTATTGAGCATTCCAATTTCTTTATTATCAAGCAGAAGCAAGGGCATCATGTAGATGGTTGCACCGTTTTTAATCTTTCTAAGTTTGTTAAGGTATGCTGATTATAAAGTTCACCTTTCAGAGTGTCATTGTTTGTTCTTATGTCTAGAATTTTGTTATATTTATCATAAAAAACCTGAATGTCCTTTTCGTGGTGGAATTCGCACTTCATATGTTTTATATTGATACATCTGTTAATTTTGGTGGGATTTTCACAATGACACATTGGATAATTTATCATTTCAAAATACTGACCTTTCTTGCATTATCACCAAAATTTAATTTCATAAGTCTTTTCAAATATCGTTGGTACGGAAGGGCTAAAAATCAACAAACTTTATTCCAAAGCCATCATCAGAGAATGTATGTAATATACTAATCCTAACACGGTCTTTTTTAATATGCACATAAAAAACATGTGACTTGGACGAGATTTGAACTCGCACCTTCGGGATACTAGTCCGCCGCTCTACCTGTTTTTCATGTGCATATTAAAACAAACGGTGTTAGGATTAATATATATTATATATATTCTCTGATGATGGCTTTGGAATAAATTCGGCACACGGTGCCATCCAGTAAACTGCTATATTGGCGAGAATCTCTCGTCCATACGCAGTATAAAAGAGATTTGACTCGTCTCCAATCCCTGTGGGCTTGGTAGCTCAACAGGTAGAGCGGCGGACTAGCACCCGAAGGTGCGATTTCAAATCTCGTCCAAGTCACATGTTTTTCATGTGCATATTAAAAAAAACCGTGTTAGGATTAATATATTATACAAGAATTAACAAGATGAATCAAAATTATGACACGCCAGAGAATTTCAGTTACGCATATTATTATTTGCAATAAGTTTAACATGTTTCTGTGGTTTACGAGCATGACTCAACACCCCTTGCTCATAAACTAAATTTGTTAAGATATGAACATCACGCGAAAAACATAAACAACATACCATTGCATGCATAATTAAGTAACTATGACACATATAAGATCAAGTGACATTGTGAACTTGTTATTGTAATATCGTTGTTAGCTTATACGTAAGTTGTTATTTTGTTCCACAATAAAAATCATAATATTTCACATATTATCCGAACGTTATTGCCGAACCTTGAATAATTTAACTAAATTAACAAATTGATATTTATTTACCAGTTATAAACGTTTTGAATCTACTTAATTTAATCTTACTTACAGCTTTCGTAAATATATCAGCCACATTTTCATGTGTTGCTACATACATAATTTCTATTTTACCAGCCCTTATTTCACTTCTGATAAAGTGATATCTAATATCTATGTGCTTGGATCTTTTGTGGTACATAGGGTTCTTTGCTAAGTTAAATGCACCCTGATTGTCAACATTCAACAAAACACACTCGCCTTCCTTACAAATACGCAAATCAAAACACGAATATTTCAAAAATTTTGCTTCTTGAATAGCTTCAGTCAATGCCATATACTCAGCCTCACAAGTTGACAAAGCAACTGTAGATTGCTTCTTACTCCTCCAAGAAAACAAACCACCGTTCTCACTCAACCTGAAACCGTAACCTGAAATACTACGCCTGTCATCTGCATCGCCAGCCCAATCAGAATCAGAAATGACTCATTGCCTTTGACTCATTGTTATTTCACTTTCTGAGTATTTGAATTCAGTCCCTAAGAACCAAGACAATATTCCTAAATCTTTCATCTTAAAACGGTCAGTTAAGATTTTCTTGACACTCTGCATTAATGTGTCATTGTAAGCAACAATGATAATATCATCTACCCATACTATTAGAATAGTAACATCTTTTCCTTCAAATCGCGTGTAAACGCATGGGTCGATTAATGATTATTTGAAAGTTTTCCCGATTAAGTGTTCATGCAATACGTTATTCCAATTCCTACCACTTTGTTTTAATCCATACAAAGACTTTTTCAACCTGTACACTAATTTTTCACCATTTTTATCTACTTCCTCAAATCCTTCGGGTTGATGCATATAAATTTCGCAGTCTATTGGGGCGTTAAGATAAGCTGTTTTTACATCCATCTGATGCAATAACATGTTGTTTTGAACAGCGTGTTGAAGCAATACACGGATACAACTCATGCGTGCAGTTGGCGAAAAGGTTTTGTTGTAGTCAATACCGGGAGTCGGCGAGTATCGTTTTGCTACATAACGGGCTTTATGGGTCTCTTCTTCATGTTGCCCTACTTTTACTGTGTATACCCATTTTCCTCCACTATGTCTCTATTTGTTGGGGGTGGAACAAGTTCAAACGTATCATTGTCAATTAACGCTTTCATTTCATCATTCATGGCTTTTTGTCATTTTACTTTTACAATAGAGCTTATTGCTTGGGAATATGTCGTTGGGATGTTGGATACTCTATAGCAATAATCTACGGTATATGAGACAGTATCCTCCCCTGAAACTTGTTTTGTCACATACTTGTCAAGATATTTACTCTTACTTCTTATCCTAGTGGGATATCTTGATTCTCTAGATGTCTCTGGAGTACTAATGATTTCGTTAGTTGTTTTGGGGTTTCTTTCATGCAATTTTGCTATCTGAGGTGCAAGTTCTTCATCATCTAGTTCTGGCAGTTCCCTGCTACCCTCCCTGAAGAACTTAACACATCTTACACGCTCTACTTTGTTAATGTCAGGGTAGTATAGTAAATATGCTGGACTATTTTTATCATACCCTACGAGAATACCTTGTTTACGTCTAGGGTCTAACTTTTTGAAGTTTTGTGAATAACCATAACAAACACAACCAAAAACGTGCATTTTGCTCAAGTCTGGTTGTGAGCCTGTAAACGCTTCAAACGGAGTTATGTTCAACCTCAAATTAAAACAACGATTCCTAATATAAGCAGATGCCATGACGGCATATGTCCACATGGATTTTGGTAGTTCCGCTTCTAGCAATAGACACCTAGCCATATTAAATAAAGTTAACCACGATCTCTTAACTGTGCCGTTCTGGTGTGGCGAATATGGTGCACTAGTTTCATGCCTAATTTTGTTTTCTCTAAGAATCGATTTGAATTTCTCGCTTGTAAATTCAGTGCCGTTATCACTTCTTATGTGCTTCACATTTCCGTAAGGTGCAACATCTGCTAAAAACTGTTTTAATGCTTGTGGTGTATCGCTTTTATGCTTGAGAAAATAGACCATATTCAATTCTGAATAATCATCCACAAATGACAATGCATATCTAAACCCTTCTCTTCCTTCCGGATCAATAGGACCTGCAAGATCTGTGTGAATAAACTCAAGAGGACCTCTCGCCTTTTTATCTTCCAGCTTACTTTTCTTCTGACACATTTTACCTTCCGTACAAACCTCACACTCAACATCCCTCAAGTCTGTGATTTTCATCCCCTTAACCACCTTCTCTAGTTTCCTAACATCCTTGTAGTTGCAGTGACCTAGAATTTTGTGCCCCTTGTAAAGGGAACATGCAGTTTTATTCGAAGATGATATGTTATTTATATAGTAAAGTTTGCCTTTTTGTCTTATTCCAAACGTTGTGCCATCAGGTCACTGTGCATGATTATCGTGTTTATCTAATTTGACTTTTGCCCCCTTTTCTACGGCAGCATTTACTGAGAATATATTTTGATCGTAAGATGGAACATATAAGGCATTACTTAATAAGACGTCCTGCGCATTTCCATGCAAGTCAACTAATTTGACTTTAGCAGTACCTTTATCGACTACTACGTTGGCTTTACTGCCATCTGCTAATTCAATAACATGCGCTTTACTATCAAATTTACAATCAAAATCTATAAATTTTGCCTTATTGTTAATAATGTGTCTTGTAGCTCCTGCGTCCACGAGTAGAGTTAAATTCGCTTGATCCTTATCCTTCACGTCTGCTTCAGCGTTCTCTTCTTCATCCTTTGACACAAATAAAAAGGAGTGTTGCCGTTCACTGTCACAGCGCTGCTCGTCTTTAGCTGACTAGGACGTTTCTTTCATCTTTCGGCAATCTTTCGTGTCGTGGGTCTTGGCCTTGCATAAGGAGCAACATTTGTTCCCCTTCACTCGGCATTGTGAGCTTTTGTGTCCCTTTCTTTCACAGTTGAAACAATTTTCATCAAATCTTGGTTTCGCATACATAACGTTGTTACCTACCTCCGTTTTTGGTAACAATGGTTTGATATTTTGTTCATAACTTCATAACGAATTCTTAAATTCCGTAAAAGTCATTTGTCTTTCCCTTTGAACTGTTACGGTAGCAAAGACGTCGTACGTGCTTGACAGACCCTTTAAAAACATTGCAATGTGTAGTCCAAAAGCAAACTTCTCCTGGGCCATTAACCTGTTGAGTTCGAGTTAGTCGCCATATCTCTTAATATACTCTATACCTTCAGTAACAACCACGAGTGAGCTTAATGATAGAACTGATTTTTATTATTTTACAGAGCAGTATTTATAGTCTTTATTACAAATAACAAATATTATTATTGGTCGAAATAGTTCCTCTATTTAAGCTATATATGGTACATAAGGAAATTTAACTAACGTCAATAACTGTTCCTTGGCTGTTAGCCGTGTGGGAACGGATACATTGGTAAACCAAACTACGCACATACTATCTTCTTAACATGTTTCTGTAGTTTATGAGCATGACAAAACAAAATGTAAGATAATTTTTTGAGCTTTTTTGTCATTTTCTAGATTTTGCAAAACATTTCAAGTGTTAGGCATGTTTTAAGAAACTTTAAATGCATGCAAAGAAATACAATAAGTAAATTTTACATTTTATGGCATTTACATGAAATTTGCATGTCGATTACATACAGAATACTATAAAATGGGAATAACAGAAGTTACCACAGAATATTGCAGTGTGTAATGAATTTGTTTTTTAATGTTCGCCAGGACACAGTCTCAATCTTCATTCTACACAACAAGAACGAAATTTTTTTTTCCTATAAAACATGACTTACATGACATGTCCTGTATTTTACATGATTTTTTTAATTGAAAAGGAAGAATACTTGAAAAATTTCTCAAGGTTGTCTTTAAAATTAATTCTAGAAGGCAATCAGATCTTTTATAAGAAATAGGAATTTTTTTAAATGCAAAGGCTAAATTACAGAACACTCTGCTTCATATATATTTATATTGTACAGCTGACTAAGTAGTCATTGTATTCAAGTAGACTGCCTGTACAAACTTTATGTGTCAGTTAGACAAATTGTTATACACCTTCCTAAGTGATAATATAACTCAGTACCTCTATTTTTATTCCAGCATGCAGTGGCGTCACTAAAGGGAGCCTGGGAAGGCCCCGTAGACTCAAACTTGTAGACACAATAATACAAATATAGCAATGACTAAGAGTAGGGCTCATGAAAATACTGCAGTTCTGGGAGTATTATAATATGAAAACATTTCATTAAAATCAGTAATCAATCTACGTAACGTTATAACACGAAGAATGTACAAATCCTTCAAGGCTAAACTGGGAAGTTAAAAAATTGAAACTATTCATGTTGTGATAAATATTTCAAAAATTTCCAAGTGCAGAAGAAATTTTTAGGGCCATTTTGCTAGCGACTGACGTGGAACAAATTTCGTGCCCCCCACGCGCAAAATCCTGGCAACGCCACTACCAAAATGTAGCCAAATGCCTAAATGCAGGAAAACTAAAATGTCAAATTGCGTTGTTTTCAGCTGCCATCCTCGATATTCATTTACACGTACAAGTAAAACTGTAACATTACGTAGCTATGTTTGATTTTCAACAATTTTAGTTGTCTATAAATTCCAATTAAACAAAATATTTATGTTGATATTAATACTTTTATGACCCTTAGATGGAGTCAAGAGAAGAAAAGAATTACAACTACTTGCAGAAAATACTTAAAAATGTCGTTAAAAAGAAACTTGTTGATTTATTTATCCAAGAGTGGAACGCTCATTGCAGTAAAGACCACGGAGAATGGAATAATTCAAGCAGTGGTCAGAAGTTGTTCAATATTGAAAAAACAAAAAAGAAACCTAAACCTCATGACAAACATATTCTGTCAAAGTTTCAAGATGGTGACACCAGTAAGTGGGATTGTACAACACTGTTTGCAGCAATATTGTTTTCAAACGCAATTGGAAATAAAATTGACCCAAACACTAAAGCTGCTGTGAATGAACTTCGTGAAGTAAGAAACAAAATCGCTCATAATGAAGATAGTAAATTATCTGATACTGAATATCACACAATGGTTTGTGATATTGAAAAGTCATTTCAAGATCTAGGATTTTCATTCACTGAAATTATCAAAATAAAAAGTGAACGAAACATATTTTATTCTTTTCAAGTACTTCCTTGCAAATCAAATCACGATGTGGTTAAACGTACAGAATTACTCAATCAAATCACAGCAGATCTCAATAACTTGCGCAGTACTAACAATAATGAACTAACATATTACTATATTTCTGGTAATCCTGGCAGTGGTAAATCTGAATTAGCCAGACAAATTTGCGAAGAAATGTATAACTCGTTTGACTGGGAAAATCACACGACATTTGTGATGACACTTGACGGAAAAGATATCGACTCTCTTTTGAAAACTTATGCTGAACTTTATCAACGTTTAAACAATGATAAAACTGTCATTGAAAATATTCTGAAAGAAGCAAAAAGCAGCGAGGACAAAACTAAAGATTTTCAATTATTGCTGACACAACAACTGAAATCTTGGCAAACATGGTGGATTGTTGTAGATAACGTGGTTGAACTTCATAAAATTTATCCATTATTACCTCAAGTTGGTGATCATAGCTGGAAAAATGGACAAATTATAGTAACTGTCCAAAATACAGATGCTATACCACCAGATGGAAATCTAAATAAACACATTTCAGTTAGTCATGGTATGAATGATGAAGAATGTCGACAACTTCTATCTTTCTTTTCTGATATTCATAATAAAGATGAAAAATATTTAAAGGATTTATCAGACAAATTAAATCGTCAACCGTTGTTCCTGGCAAATGCTGCTTCCTACGTAGGTAGAGTAAAAAGTGCAAATCCGAAATTCACGTGGGAGCAATATTTTGATAAGTTGAATGAAGAAGAGCGACAGAAAATGGATGCCAGTTTTCAAAAAATAAATACATCTTACTTAGGAATGCAAACTGTTATGTTAGCAGTACAAAAAAATGCCGAAGAATACATCTTGTTGAAACATGTTTTTAAACTTTTCTCAATAATATCTTTCGATCCCTTACCAAAAGATGTTATAATACAATTTATTAAAAGCATTGATCCACAAAAATCTGCAGAAGATGTCTGTCTTCAATTAAAGCATTGTTCTTTATTCCTTCAAACGGAAAACAACGACATCCGCCTACACAGCGTTGTACACGAAGCCATCATAAATTATTCATCGCAGACCTTTGGCTGTAAACAAAACGAAAATAATTCTAAAAAGTCTGCAGCTGATCTTGCCTGTCAAGTTGCTTGGGCACTAAATCATTTTGAAGACAGTGAAGATGAAATCAAAATAATTCCACATCTATTTAAATTCATAACAAATTCATCATTTCAACATTTCCTAAATAAGTTGATCTATGTAAAATCATCAAAACAAAAACTTGATGAAAGAAATTGGAAACTTGCCAAATATTTTGTAGATGTTTTGGAAAGATTTTATAACTATAAGCTTGCTATTAAAGTACTTTACGACATGACAGAAATTCAAACTAAAGTGTTAGGTGTTGATCATATTGATGTTTCATATTCGTACAACAAGATGGCTTCATTGCTAAGGAAGAACGGAGAATATGAAAACGCTCAAGATTTTTTCGAGCGAGCAATGGGAATTCAAGCAAAAGCATTTGGACCTGACCATGTTAATATTGCGGCATTGTGCAACAATCTGGGTTCGGTTTACTATGAAATGGGAAAGTACGAAAAAGCAAAAGATTTTTATGAACGAGCGATGAAAATTGAAAAGAAAACATTTGGACCTGACCATGTTGATGTTGCGACAACGTACAACAATCTGGGTTTCGTTTACAGTAATATGGGAGAGTACGAAAAAGCAAAAGATTTTTATGAACGAGCGATGAAAATTCAAACAAAAGCTTTTGGACCTGACCATGTTAATATTGCGACAAGGTACAACAATCTGGGTTTTGTTTACAATAATATGAGAGAGTACGAAAAAGCAAAAGATTTTTATAAACGAGCTATAGAAGTTCAAACAAAAACATTTGGACCTGACCATGTTAATATTGCGACAAGGTTCAACGATCTGGGTTTGGTTTACTTTAAAATGAGAGAGTACGAAAAAGCAAAAGATTTTTATGAACGAGCGATGAAAATTCAAACGAAAACATTTGGACCTGACCATGTTAATATTGCGACAACGTACAACAATCTGGGTTTGGTTTACAATAATATGGGAGAGTACGAAAAAGCAAAAGATTTTTATGAACGAGCGATAAAATTCAAACAAAAGAATTTGGACCTGACCATGTTAATATTGCGACAACGTACAACAATCTGGGTTTTGTTTACAATAATATGAGAGTACGAAAAAGCAAAAGATTTTTATGAACGAGCGATAAAAATTCAAACAAAAGCATTTGGACCTGACCATGTTAATATTGCGACAACGTACAACAATCTGGGTTTTGTTTACAATAATATGAGAGAGTACGAAAAAGCAAAAGATTTTTATGAACGAGCGATAAAAATTCAAACAAAAGCATTTGGACCCGACCATGTTAATATTGCGACAACGTACAACAATCTGGGTTTGGTTTACAGAGAAATGGGAAAGTACGAAAAAGCCAAAGATTTTTATGAACGAGCGAAAGAAATTAAAACAAAAGCATTTGGACCTGACCATGTTAATATTGCGACAACGTACAACAATCTGGGTTTGGTTTACAGAGAAATGGGAGAGTACGAAAAAGCAAAAGATTTTTATGAACGAGCGAAAGAAATTAATACAAAAGCATTTGGACCTGACCATGTTAATATTGCGACAACGTACAACAATCTGGGTTTGGTTTACAGTAAAATGGGAGAGTACGAAAAAGCAAAAGATTTTTATGAACGAGCGATAAAAATTCAAACAAAAGAACTTGGACCTGACCATGTTAATGTTGCGACAACGTACAACAATCTGGGTTTGGTTTACAATAATATGGGAGAGTACGAAAAAGCAAAAGATTTTTATGAACGAGCGATAAAAATTCAAACAAAAGAATTTGGACCTGACCATGTTAATATTGCGACAACGTACAACAATCTGGGTTTTGTTTACAATAATATGGGAGAGTACGAAAAAGCAAAAGATTTTTATGAACGAGCGATAAAAATTCAGACAAAAGCATTTGGACCTGACCATGTCAATATTGCAACAACGTACAACAATCTGGGTTTGGTTTACGATCATATGGGAGATAACGAAAAAGCAAAAGATTTTTATAAACAAGCAATAGAAATTATGTTAAAAACATTTAAACCTGAACATGTACCGCAATAATATACAACAATCTTCATTTTGTTATAAACAAACTATTGATATTGAAACTGAAGCATTTGGACTTCTATTTATCTTTTATTTGCTAGAAGCTAAAATACTCCTGTCTTTGAATAAACGTACAAGGAGATAGAAGGAAAGGAAATGAATTTGTAGCTCATTTTCAATGAAGAAAAAAATCAATTTCTCTTTTCATTTTAGGTATGTCTTCTTTATACTAAAGATGATTAGAAACAGTTGTATTGTAGATTTCTTTTAACAAAGGTTCAAATAACAACAGTTGTATATTTATAAAAGGTATAAATATATTATTGATAATATTCAAACATTTGTATTTTCAAGTTTTCAACTGTCATTTATTTACTGGAACTGTTCTTATTAAGAAACTTGTATGGAACTATCAAAGTATATTTATGAGTTTAGTTTGCAATATCTAGCTATTCAATAACCAGGACAAGCAGACAATTTCAAATAATACAAAATAAAACAAATTCCGAAAAGGGACATCTCGTTTTCTTGATATTCAAGATAATACAAGAGTTTTAAAACAAGAGACGGTGTAATATTTTGTCTTTATTCCAAAGACATCATCAGACTAATAGTTTACAATGCAGGCTGCGAAACTTTTATATATTTACAAGCGGAAATGACAGTTATGGAATTAGAGAACTATAAGACTAAACAATCAGGCAGTTTATTTACATTAAAATAGAAATAGTTTCTTACAAGCTTTAAGACCACTATTAAGTTGTGGCATATTGCGTTTTATCAAAAGCGCTTCTAAGATGAGAAGTTGATAAGGATTATTATTTTTACAGCGATATAAGATTTTGGTATTACTTGGAATCAATTTACAAGATTTAAGTGGCACGCGTGTGAGATCGAGGTCAGAGTCAACGTCAGGAAGTGAGAAAAGGTGTGAGATGTAGTTGGCGTCTGTACAAATGAGTAAATGTAGCGAGATAGCACTAGAATTGTTGTAATTAGTGGCATGTTGGGTTAGTCTTGTGTGTAGGTTTCGTTCAGTTTTGTCTATGTATGTATGACCACAGCCTGTACATTTAAATTCATGTACAACATTGGCTTTAGAGAGTTCCGGAATTTTGTTCTTTTTGGAACAGAAAATTGATATCTTTTTTGTTTGATATATGACTATAGGTTTGATGGGAATATTTAAGCTACGGCGAATTTTGCGAAGAAGATTGAAAATCAAACGTTCACCCTGCTTGCCTAGATATGGTATTCTAATGAAAATTTTACGAAGGTCATTCTCAGTATTTTGTTTAGAGGGGTTATTTTTAGCTATGATTTTGGTTTTGTGTTTATGAATCAAGAATTTCCGGACTGTAAGAGGGAAACGATTCCATGACATAAAAGACTGGAGTGTTTCAATTTGTTTTTTGAATAGTGTTTGGTTAGAACAAATCTTAAATGCGCGAAAAAATAGGGAATTGATCCAAGTAGTTTTGCGGTTGAAAGGTTCGAAACTTGAAAAATGTGTATATTGGCCAGTATGAGTTGTTTCATGAGAATTTCATTAGAAATCATAGCTAAAAATCTACGATATCTTTTGTTTTAAATGCATTCGGCTCATATAAAATGATATCGAAAATAATGAGTTACAATGAAACAATGTTAGTGGTCCAAAAACAAAAGAATATTTTACGAATAATAGAAATGACATTGTTTAGTACATCTAAAGAAGTTAAGTCAATTGAGCAAAAAAATATTTCGTGTGATCATTTATGTACATTTATACCTGTATTAGATGGCAATCCTTGACAGAATAGCAAAATGGTGATCCATTATGATCCATTATAAATTACTGGAACTCCAAAACACTTTAGATTTGTGCTATAAAAATATGAATGTTTAAATAACAAAGTTTAATATGGCCCAAAATCTGAAATTGTATAAACAAACGATAACTATTCCATCGTAACAAACAGCCCCACAAACTTTGTATTGATTAATTGTATCTATATTATATATTTATCTAAAAATATAATAATAAATAATAAAACAAATACATAAATGAATATATAATATAGATACAATTAATCAATACAAAGTTTGCGGGACACGGTCTGTTACAATGGAATGGGGCGAGTTATCGTTTGTTTATACAATTAGTGATTTTTGCCTTTGGTTTAACCTCACAAAGTCAAATCTATAACAAATGTGCTTCGCCAAGAAAATGCTCTAGTGAAAAATGTGAAATCTCTATTTCATCAAGATTTTAACGATGATAATATACCATCAACATTTGGTGGTTATATTGTTTACCTCTGACTGACCATAACTTTCTTCAATTGTTTTTTGAAAGTCTCTTAATGTCATTCCATATTCCACATTTGTTTTTAGCTTCTCTAGTTTAAACATAACAGGACAATCCAGTGATATACAGCTCAGTTGTTCATCTCTAGCTCCACACACTGAAAACATATCTACAATATGAAAAAAAAATTAAATGTCATGAAAAAGACAAACCATAATTATTAGGTTATTTATTATGCATACCTCTTTAAGATGACTGTATTTTCTTTCCCAGTTCCCCACTCTACTTGCCAGAATAAAGACAGACTTTTGAGGGTTGCTACAACAACTTTGACACAAACCGTGCTGTGTTAATTGTTCACATACAGGACAGTGTAGAGTTGTAAAAAACCGAGAAATCGAACGCTAAAATTTGTTCATATAAATTAATTTAGCTTTTACATCAATTCATGAATGTACTTATGACAACTAACTTTTTGTTTCCTCGCAATAACACGATGTCGAGGGATATAGCGGAGTAGTTTGTATACCATGAAAACACATCAACACCAATCAAGGAAAAACTCGATTAATGGAGGAAGTTATTTGTTTCTGAAACATAGTAGATGGTATTGAGGCGGAGATTTTATCATTTAACACATCAATAGGATGAATAAAATTAAAACAAGAAGATTGTTTAATGAAGACAATCATCGTTTATTTAAAGTATTTATTAATAACATTCCAACAGGTCATGATACATAACGTAAAATAATGAAAGACAGCAACATTTGAACTTACTCTTTAACCAATTGAATAGATGGTAGTCAGGATCGTTTGTTTAAATTTCTATATGAATACGTTTACGGCGCAAGGTCTGTTTAGATCATGTGACAAATTTCTACAAAAATACAAATAGTACAAACTGTAATCATGACAAGAATTAAAAGGTTTTAAATTTCTAATGAATACAAAGTTTACGGCACAAGGTTTAAGAATGGAAGTTATCGTTTGTTTAAATTTCTATCATGAATAC